AAAACAATATAGGCTTATCTTAACTATATAAGCTATTTTAAATAACACGCTGGCAATTATACCCTGAATAATACATGAATGTTTCTTTTACCTATAGCCAGATTAGTTTTGTTTTGGTGACAATGGTAACATAAAACACTTTTCACAGTACAGGTATTTAGCCTTCATGTGGAAATCACAAGGAAAGTCCTTCTAGAAGTGGGAATGTATATTGCTTTTGCTCGACGAGACATTACGACAATATAAAAAAAAAGGTATTTTTGAAAGTTTTCATATGGTGAAAAGAAACTTCAACAGAGGATATGAGCACAGACAACCAATCTTAAGATGATGGGTTTCAAGGTGTTGATTTCTGCAGAAATGTATTTGGGTTTTGGGAAGCGCTGACATATGTGAGAGATGTGCCAGTGACTTACTGGAATCAGGAGAATACGTTTATACAGAAAAGCAGGACGCGGTCTAATTAAAAGGTGCTAAGGAATATGAAGATTTATTTTTTATGTTAAGCATATCAACAGTTACCATGTTCAGAAGATTTCTGGACTATACATTTGTATTGCGTATGTGTGTGTGTGTATACACACACGCTGTTTTTTCCCATATAAAATATGTCTAAATAGAATTTTGTGATTTACAGACACACACACAAATCTCAGGTAGACAAATTGCATTTAAATTTACAAACATCAGGTTGCTAGAGGGGTTGGTCTTGTTCAAACAAATACCATTGTTAAAGTGGCACTAAACTCAGGAGTTAAATATAAAAAATGCATTCAAATACCTTAACTTTATCTTAACCTTTGTGTATCACTCAGAGGTAGATCCTCAAATCATCTCTGAATTGGTGCTGACACCGTCCTTCCTTCTGGAAGGTGGCTCATTTTGTTTCCCATGGTCCCTGTGTGTTGCAAAGTAGCCACTTATCTAAGCTTGCTCCTGTGATGGACTACAATCTCAATACAATTTAGTAAACTAAACGTGACATTATAGACCATCACAGGGGTGAGATAGAGCAGTGGCTACTTTACAACAAACACACAGGGACCATGAAGAACAAAAGTAATCACCCTCCAAAAGGAAAGACAGTGTCAGCCTGAATTCAGAGATGATTTGAGGATCTTCAGCTGAGTGATGCACAAAAAGGTAAATTTTGTTAATAGTTAAGGTACTTGTGTGCATTTTTAAGATTTAGTGTCACTTTAAAGGTAAACAGTATGATCTTGACTAGCTTTCTGACCATGGGACAGTATCTTCTATTGTGAGAAGCTGAACCGGGTCTCTGAGGCAGAAGTGCTGAAGCATTATCTTTCAGGCACTGGGAGGACTCAACTTTTCACTGCAGGTTATACTACTCAGCAGCTTTTCTTCTGGACTCTCTAGCTCCACCTTCCTTACCAGCTGCATTAATCTGCAATCAACCCAGCCTTTAATGCTGAGCACTTCCTGTGCTCTAAACCTGTTTATTTTAGGCTAGTTTCCCAAGTATGCTGCCTCTGAATTGAACGCTGGATATTCATCGGGACGTTAGCCTGTTTTCCCAACTACCCTGGCATTATCAGGTGGTAAAGAAAGATCTTTCGTTCAGAAATCTACTAATGTGTGGCCAGCTTAACTGACTGTAGATTGCATTTGCAGCGCTTTGCTACCATCTAGAGAAATCTGATGGAATAGATTAAAGGAGAACTATGAGGTGAGTGATTTTCACTCATCCTCATAGTTCTAGCCGACCTGTGATAATGAAACTGTCACAGGTCGGCTCAGTAGATCGGGAAGTGAGCGAACACATACTGGCGTTCTCTCACTTCTCGATCTTGTCACTGCAGAGAGCCGTGATAGGGGAGTGACTGGATTCCCCCCCTCCCCTGTCAGATCGTCCAGCGCTGACTGGCGGAACGGACAGGGGAGGGGGCGGGTACAGCTGGCTCTGCCTCTGCATAGGCAGAGCCAGCTGTCACTCACGCAGCTGGGTGGATCCAGACAGAATTGTCGGGATCCGTTTCAGCTGCGGCGTCTCAGTACTGAGCTTTGGGTGACGGGAGGACGCTAGTTTGTGTCCTCCCGTTAACCTTAGGAGAACTATGGGGACAAGCCCCTAACCCCATAGTTCTCCTTTAAGGGTGACGCCCTCAGGTGGGCTACCAACATTTCCAAATAAAAGCCAGCAGCCCATGTGAAACAATAGGACTTCACCGAGATCAGAAAAGGACACTAAGCCACACTTCGAGAGAGACTGCAGCCAGAAGCCTTTTTCCTGAGAACTCTTGATAGCCACAAAGTCCTGTTCAATACGGAAACTTATAACTTAATCCAGCAACTCTCAGCTCAGTAACTTTAGTGTATCGTATTGCATAAACCATTGCACGTACTAGAAATGATGGATTCATGGGTGCATGCGTATGTCAATGTAATTGCCTGTTTTGTATTATTTTACCTGTAACAAAGTAGTTTGTGCATTTAGCATTTTTGTATAGTAAAAGTATGTTAAATACTACTTGTGGGTCAGTTTCCTTGGTTTTTCTACAAGAATCAGACAAATAGCTGTAAAAGTTTGACTAGCAAAACAGTTTGGGGCTCGTGGCCGGGATTTGTAGTAAACTCATTTGAAACAGACCTGTTTCCGAGTTTTGTACTAAATCCAACCAAAACAATATTCTTTTCAAAATGTTCAAAAACAGTTCAGATTTTTATAATTTCTCGATTTTAAATTGTTTCTAAGGTTCATTGGTTAGAAATTGTCCTTACAGATTCTACATACATCAACTACATAAGATGCATTTACATAAACCCACAGAAATGGCTGTTTTCATACCCACAGTAGTCTACATACATGCAATGAGCTCTATATAGGAAATTCTGGCCTGGTGGGGAAGAGCCTGCCAAGACAGCCTTGTTTAAAAAAAGTAACTAGACCTGAACTCTTTAAAGAAAGCAGGCAGTGCAAATGATCTACAGCTGAGTGATACACAAATAAGATATATTTTTGTTAATAGTTAAAGGTACTTGAATTCATTTTTAAGATTGAACTCCTGAGTTTAGTGTCACTTTAACTAGGCATATAAGCTAAAACAAAAAGTTTAACCTGACACTAAAAACTCATTAGGGAACAACAGAAAGGGCCCTTTTAATAACTAAAATAAAAAGAATGCCAACTGCAGTTCCAGTATTATTAGTAATATAAAATGTAAATCTGTGGTACAGCGCTAAAAGATCCAAGTGTAAAAAACATGTGCTGCTAAACGTGTTTAAAACAAGAAAAATCATAAAGTAATGAATATATCAGACTTTGGTATAGAAGTGTTAGTGTAACAATAAATGTTGTAATAAAAAATGCTGGCGGATCCGCAGTATTCAATACAATTTGTCAATGAAAGCGTTGGGGGTGTGCGACTTGGTGTGAGAAGACGTGACGTAATTAGATGATCTATAGGAGATAATTAAATTTGAACATGTGTAGATATTGAGACTGCTGTCATCAGAAGAAATGAGATGGAACAATAAGGAGAATACAACATTGGCTGCAGAGAATCAGGCTTTCACCTGACCCATGAAAACACGATTTGGCTATCTACGCGGACACTGGTTCTGGTGAGGGCTTTTCTTTGGGGGATCCATTGGAGCACAAAGGAAGAGATTACCATTATTCACTGCACGGGAGTGCTTGTTTTGAACACATCCTTTTAGAGCTGCAACAATTATTAGATTAAGTCGATTAAAATCGAAGCTTTTTTTTTCCAAATGATCTCATTGCTGTGGCCGCACTTCCTCTCATCGTGCACAGCTGTGTTTTGTCAGCTCGTGCACGCAGAAGCTCTCAAGAATCACTGTCAGTCATAAGTGGGGAGGATCCCGTCAGATACGTCGGGATGTCTTCTCATTGCGGCACTTAGCCCCGCCCACCACCTTAAATATGAAAATAATCGTTAGCTGCAGCCCTACATCCTTTCAACCACACTGGACATTCTTTTTACACTGTGATATTTGTAACATGGAAACATTTTTATCACAACATTTATTGTAACACTAACACTTCTACACCAAGGTTTAATGTATTCATTACTAAATTGATGCACTATATATATACACACAAGCAAAATTAGATTATTGCATTTGATTCATTTACATTGTTTTTTTCTTGTTTAAACCCGTTTAGTGACACAGTTTTTTCACTTGGATCTTTTTAGCGCCAGCTTTTTTTATTACAACATTTATTGTTACACTAACACTTCTACACCAAAGGCTGATATATTCATTACTTTATTGAGGCACTATATATACACTGGCATAATTAGATTATTGGATTTGATGCATTTATAATTATTTTTCTTGTTTAAACACGTTTAGCAGCACATCGTTTTCTCACTTGGATCTTTCAGCGCTGTAGCATTGATTGTAAAAGTCTTAGAGCTCTTTAGCTTTTAGCACAGCGGCTTTAGACAGAAAAAACTTTATCCTGATCCTGAGCGCAGAAGAGTGAACTTTTTAGATAAAATGTAAATTTGGTTATTCGTTTATACATATATAAAACAATTGTTGAGTGGATAGCAAGCAACAGAACAACATTCCATTCTGTTCCCTAAGATTTGTAAGGCCATGCTAGTATATTTTATTAGTAATAGTATAAAAAAAAAATAGAAATCGTAAATGCAGAGATAAACATATGTGTATAAAATAGCATCTCACAAAGGTCTTACTCGGAAAAGCACACTGAATAAGCAATAAAGTCTTGGCCTGAAATCACATATATGTGCAGTCAGATTTGTGGGACTGTGCCATGTACAGAGATGTGTGGTACGTTCCTTGCCAGCAGCTTCCTTGAGACCTGCTGTGAGGCCGGAGACATTTGAAATCAATGAGGTGTCGAGTGTGCTGGCTTCAGAGCGAAGACCTAAAGGGCAGCCTCAGTAGCAATAACAAAACAAACAACCTATAACACCTACTGGCTTTCCCCAGCAAATTAACCCTTTCCTGGCCCAGCAAGAATATAAGAAAGCCAAGCTCACCATCTGGGTCAGAGATTATGTCCAGGAGGGATTTGTCCAAAGACGACTTGCTCATCAACTTCTCTTCATATTCAAAATATATATCCAACTTCCGAGCCTACAGAAAAGAGAAGGATAAAAGTGCTTCATCAATTAATCAAATTACATGTATTCAATAAAAAAAAGGATATTGTAAAAAAACTGGTAACATATTTTACTACATGGTTCTTCGTATAAAATAATTTGTATCCAAATGTCAGTTTTTACAGTATTTGAAGATTAAATCCCTTATAATTGTCTTTGGTTTTGCATAAAAACCTGGAAAACAAGGAAATACCTAGAATGTAATGGCTAGGTAGTTAAAATTGAGTTTCTGTTCACACTCAGTTATTTAGCACAAGCAATTACTTTAATCATCTACAATAAAGCCCGATTTATCTTTTCAGTTAGGTCACTAGTTTCCAACTTGGACCAGAATAATGCCTGCTTTCCAGACTTCAGAGTAGGCCTAAAGATTATTTAAAACCCCAAAATTATATATTTTCTGAAACCTGTAGAATAAAATGGTGGCAGTGGCAATCTTTTTTGCCACATATTAGCAGAACTGTTTACCAAATTCAAGTTTTAAAGATGAATTCAAATAATTGTAGTGCATACAAACACATTATAATACACATATTTTTTGCAAAGTCCAATACTTTTTTCCCCCTGTTGGAGCAAATTGAGCCATGCTTTATAGGGATTTTTTGCCTTCCTCTGGATCAACAGTGGGTAATTGTGGGCGTAGCATTCTGGTTAGGCTTTTCTTTTTTTCATATCTCTGTAGGTTGAACTCGATGGACATGTGTCTTTTTTCAACCTGACTAACTATGCACCTATTTTCTATTTTACAATTTTGGTGAACCCTTCCAAACTGTAGCTTCAGTTTCCTGTTCTTAGCTGCTAGAAGAGGCACCCGGTGTGGTCTTCTGCTGCTGTAGCCCATCTGCTTCAAGGTTCAATGTGTTGTGTGTTCAGAGATGCTTTTCTGCATACCTTGGTTATTTGAGTTATTGTTGCCTTTCTATCAGCTTTAACCAGTCGGGCCATTCTCCTCTGACCTCTGGCATCAACAAGGTATTCTTACCTAGACAGCTGCCGCTCACTGGATATTTTCTCTTTTTCAGACCATTCTCTATAAATCCAAGAGATGGTTGTGTATTAAAATCCCAGTAGATCAGCAGTTGCTGAAATACTCAAACCAGCCCCTATGCCACCAACAACCATGCCATGTTCAAAGTCACTTAAATCACCTTTCTTCCCCATTCTGATGCTCGGTTTGAACTTCAGCAGACCATCTTGACCAAGTCTACATGGCTAAATGTATTGAGTTACTGCCATGTGATTGGTTGATTAGATATTTGTGTTAATGAGCAGTTGAAGAGGTTTACCTAATAAAGCGGCCAGTGAGTGTTGATGGCTCAACTATTAATATAGTGATGAGATTCCAAACCCTTTCCAATTAGAGAAATTGAACAAGTAGCGATGAATAACACAACGTATGAAAAACAATGATTATCAACTTTGTTAATAACAGCTTGAATTTAAATATTAAAAAGGTATGACATCTATTCAACAGTCTCAGTTAATCTTCATACCTATGAAAAATATTTAACCACTTGCCGTCCGCCCGTTGTAAAAAAACGGACGGACGGCACTGCAGCATTGGCGGGTTGCCGTCTCCAGACGGCATTTTTTTTCTGCTCGCGGGCGCGCACGGGCAGAAAAGACCCGACCAATGCTGTGAATGCAGAAGTGATGCGTGTTACATCACTTCCGCATTCACCTGTCAGTCATCTGGCTGCTATAGCCAGAGAAAAGAAGCTGATGAAGCAGATCTCTGCTTCATCAGCTTCTTTTGGGGTCCACAGGTGAAATTAGGGGTCCTAGGGACCCCTAATTTCGTTACATATTGCTGCGAACGTCGCAATGAGAGCAATCATTTTAGGGCCATCAATCACTGATAACACTAAACTGATGAGCGGTAAAAGCTTTTAAAGTGTCGCCTATGGCCAATTTGGGGTATTATCGTTTTTTGAGGTTTCGCGCGCGCACGCAATTTTAAGGCTTGACATGTTTGGTGTCTTTTTACCCGACGTGACCCCGTCTTTTATATTTTACCAAAAAATTGGGTAATAATAAATGTTTTATCATTTAATATAGGGGAAACAGTTTTTTTTTTTAAATTTCGGTAATTTTTCCTTAATATAGTAAAAAATAAAAACCCCAGTGGTTATTAAATACCACCAAAAGAAAGCTCTATCTGTCCCTAAAAAATGGTAAAAAATTAATTTCAGTACAGCGTTGCATGACGGAATAAATGTCAAAGTACCGCAGCGCTGAATACTGAAAAATGGCCTGGATGGGAAGGGGGTTTAACACCGTGGATGTCAACTGGTTAAAAAGGTATGACATCTATTCAACAGTCTCAGTTAATCTTCATACCTATGAAAAATATAGAATGCTGGCACAGTGAATGTAAACAAAGGTGACTGCTTCAATCAACATCAAACCAAGACACTGGTTGTGGACCACTAATACAGTATAATGGAAGAAGCATGGGTTTACACTAAGAAAATTGATTGTTATAGTGAAATTACAGGTCTTGGGAACAACTGAATTATAATGAAAATACTGGGCTGCACAATTTCAGTGTCTGCAAAGTGGGCTGCAAGTCTTGGTGGCCACTCATACAATGGTTGCATATAACACCATGGAAGGGTCTGGACGCCCATTCATAAAAATTATTTTGGTGTGGTTGTAGTTTTTCAAAACAGACCTCCGTCTGTTACAAAACAGAATACTAAGAAATTATTAAAGTATACTTGTGTTTGTGATAACATCTAATGAAGAGCTGCATTCAGAATCCCAGCATTTTTTGCGTTAGCTTTAATGTATAGTCATTAATATGTTGCTTTCCGTACTTTGCATGCAGACACCAACTTGGCTGGGAACACTTAACAGAAATACAAATAATAAATCTTGGTAACAAATTAAAACAAAACAAAGATGTATTGAACACAGGAAAGCAGAAGGCTTAATAACTAACACATGACTTATGTTATTTTTAGATCCAATAAATACTTTTATTGCATGCATTGAAAAAAAAAAGACGTTTTGGAAAACAAACATACATGTGCTTGAAGTACAAATTTAAAAAAACTGAAAATATCAGACTTCATTCCATTTTTTCAGCCAGCAGACATCTAAAGACATTACAGTGCAGCTTGTGGTATTGTGTTTCAGCACACTTTTAGTCCAAGCGTCACAATCCAATACCAGTGCCACTAAACTGACGTCATGGTATTGAACATTTTTGCATGACATGCTTCTACCTTTTTAAAAATTATAGATGACTGAATGTCTACTACAGCCAGAGTAACATATATACCATACCTCCATATGGCTACCATAATAAAGAGAAAGATATTGGGTTATTCAACTGGCCCCACCCCATAATCTTCCCTATTGGTCAAAGAGGTGATCCAAGAAATTAAAAGAGCGAGGTGGCAATAGAGAATCAGCAGGGTCAACCTAAAATTGTATAGGAATGTCAAGATTTCTAAATAAAAATTGTGAAAAAACAGATTGCTTTGTTTTGGGTTACACCGATACCGGTTTTTCGGTATCGAGTACTGATAAATTTTTTCCGATATTCACCGATACCGAGTACCGATTCCGGTGCCTTGATTATCAGGAAGTTGGACAGCAGATCATGACCCGCCATCCGGCTTCCTGACTGGGAAGCCTGCGTTCTATCAAAATTATACCGGCTTCACTTGCCGAGGCTCCGTGACCAATCAGGAAGCAGGGCGGCAGGTCAAGAGGTGCCATCTGGCTTCCCGATTGGTCAGGAAGCCAGGCTGCATAGCAACAAGTGATGTCGGCTTCCTAGCCTTTTAGAAAGCCGGGTGGCACGCCATGAACCGCCTCCCTGCTTCCTGATTGGCTAGGAAGCTGGCTTCACTTGTTGCTAGGTAGCGTGGCTTCCTGACGAATCCGGGAGCTGGGAGGCGAGTCATGACTCGGCTTTCTGACTCGGCATTGCCGGTCAGAGGGAGATCTCCCTCTTACCGGAAGTTCTGGTATCGCAGGTAAGTTCCAGAGCATTTGGGCAAGTAAGAGTACTCGCCCAAATACTCGGTATTGGCACAGATACTTGTATCAATATATATCCCTTTTTTTCACTATAGATCATTTTTTGCTTATGCTTTTTTTAATTATTTACTTCGTTTCAACTGGCTGGGTTTGTTAAAAGTTAACATTAGAGGACAACTAAAAGGTTCCAATATAGCAGTGTAAATAAGTACCAAGTTCAGTTGTTATGTGATGCACAAGCCTCACTCTTCCCTGAGCAAGCCAAATCCCCCATTTGTCTCTCACACTCTCCCCCTTTCAGACACTGCAGCTCAAAGTGGGAAGGCTTTAGCAAAAAAGGCAGCTGTGCCAATCCAGAGAGCAGAGGGCAGGATTAGGTATGGCCAGGTGCTGACTGACAATCTACGGGCTTGTGAATCAGCAGCGATAATCCCGATACTTATGCCCTGCAACATCTTCTCATCACAAGTTGGCCACAAGTTTTCATTAACAGTCTTGTCTAGTCCCCTCAAACTCATTAAGCTTAAAGAATATCCAGGTGAGGGGATTCTATGAAGAATAACAAAAACGTTTTTATATTAAAGTAACTGTGACAGTCTATGAATGAACCCATCATTAACTATACATGCTGCTTAACGTGAATGTTAAAGAAAATGAGTGGTAAACAAATACAGCAGACACACACAAATACAGCTCCCTTCTGAAATGTAAATTATTTTAGGGAGAACACAAAAGGTAGAAGGGAAAACACACAAACCCCAAAAGGTGGGCAGGATAGAATACAGAACTATGGAGGAGAAATCTTGCCACAGGAATCCCAGTAGCAGTGGAGGGCAAGGTAGGATATATATGTCTATATATCTTTGTATCTAAACATATGTACATAAATATTCTAATTTTATATGAATGATAAAAGCAAAAGATATAAAATATCTGATGCACACTCCAAGCAAAGTAGCAAACTCTCAAGCTCCTGCCTCC